TTCAGAGAAAAAAAAAAAATTCACTAAAGCTGAACACAACCTCTCACAACAACACCAGCTGGTATACTGATACAGGTGGGTTCCTAGAACACTCACCCAGTGGGGCAAGCCTGTACAACAAAGGCCCCGTCCTCCAGAAGATAATTCCGGTTTTGGGGGAAATCCCCCTATACAAAGGAATAGCATTTTAATAAAAAAGAGAGTGCTAAGAAAGAGATTGTGCCCTACTTCTAACATATATTAGCTGTATAGCTGTAAGCTATGGTTTCTCCATTTGTAAAACTCAGGAGAACTGAAGCAAACTCTACTCCTTCTAAGAATAAAGATCTTTAACTTTAGGAAATGCTTTTCTATACAATGCACCAAGATAAATTTCTATTGGCTGTCGAAATAATAGGCTTACTTGACTTAATTTAGGACACCTGTTTCCTAAATCTTTTTACATCTGAGCTCAAAATTGATGAAAGTTTTGTACATAAAGTTGTCTATCTTACCTGATCTGTCATTCAGACCTTGTTGAAGGAGCATTACTCTCTGAGCAATGGACATAGTTCTCATATGAACCTTTTCAGCTAAAACCTTAAAGAGATGATAATAATAATAATAATAATAATAAAAAGATGGTCATTAAACTCAACATAGTTTACATATTTCATAACTAGTACTATCTCCTTCCCCTAAGAAAATTACTCAGAATCTCCAAAAACTTAATATCTGATAACATATTAAATTACCTATACTCTCCATATGTGTCTCAATTAATGAAATCATTATTATTTCCCAAATATTTTTAAAGTGTTTTAAGAAGATGGCTTTTTGACTTTAAAGGACATACCTACACAAAATATTGAACTTATTTACCTGGTAAGCCTGCTTTCTGACGGCCACTTTCACGTCCCTGGTGCGCCCTACGATTTTTGACAAGGTCTTTGCTGATGGCACAATACACGATAACACTGCCCGCCTGACTTCCGGATTTGAGTCATTTTCAATCATGGTAGCGTACGCTAGAAACAGAGCAACATATTTTAGCACACTGAAGAAACATTCATTCTTTAGCCACAGTCATAAGATAGCCCACAATGTGATATTTAAGAGCATCTTTAAAAGGATTTAAAAAGTATCATTTTTGGTCTTACACATTTAATTGTAGCTGAAGGTTTTTTTTCTGCCAACTTCACTTAAAAAGGACAGCATGGGAAATTACTACATGGACTGGGCATGAAGGCTGAAACAAAAACCAACAGCACTCAAGATCATGGAACGCTCATCACTAAGATGATGTGTCTGCTACTCTTCAAAATTTAAAAGAACGTAGCAGACAGTTTATTTTTATACCGATATGGCTTTAAAAAGGGCTCATTACTATTTTGACTTACAATGACTTCTAAAAAAATAATTTCTGGTTTTACTGAAATGAAATCCATTCCTGTACATTTAAATGTTTATTCACCTCTACTTCTCAAACTTTTCCTAGCTTCATAAACAAACACATGTTGACTAATAAACACATGTTTTCTACATTATTATTATATGCATCATTTAACACCAAAAAATATCAACTACCACCAGTTACCAAAACAGGAAGAAAGAGAAAAATGAACAGAAGTGTGCCCCAAATATACTTAGGCTATCTTTATGAGCCCAGAGGTAGAGAAAAAAGTGCAAATGATAAACAGATTGATAATTTTGACATTAGGAATTCTGTCCAACAAAAGACACCCCAAAAAGTGAAACAATAAGCCATCTAAAATAGGAAGAGAACTACAATTCACATAACCCAAGAATTTCTTTTCATTGTAAAGAACCCCAATAAATCAGTAAGATAAACCAACAGAAAAATGGGCAGAACACACTAACAAGCATTATATAATAGAAAAGATATAATTGGCTTTTAAATATCCAAAAAGATGCATAATAATGACATATGTCACACAACCAGATAAACAAAAAATTCAAAATCTGACAATACCAAACGTTGGAGAGGATATGGATCCGTGAAGACTTGCATGCATTTCCCCCGCCCCAATACTCACCCAAGGACATATATTCATCAATTTTTAGACAGAGAGGGAGGGAGGGAGGGAGGGGGAGAGAGAGAAATGTCCACTGCCTCCCATATGCTCCCCCCCCAGGGACTGAACCCACAACCTCAGCATGTGCCTTGATTGGGAATCCAACTCACGACCTTTTGGTGCAACAGATGACACTCCAGCCACTGAGCCGCACAGGCCAGGGCTACTTGTGTGCACTTTTATTGGGAATATTAATTATATCTTACCTAATAAAGCTGAATGCACATAGAAAACCTTTAACCTGGGCACCAGGAACTACTTATAAGTTCATAGAAACAACATTGTTTTTTAAGAGCAAAACACCTGAAAACAACTAGAAGGTCCATAAGTATTAGAAATAAATTGCATGATGTTCGTAAGACAGAATGCTACAAAACAGCAAATAAACAGATTAATATAGATGAATGTTACAGTTAGAAATAATGCTGAGAGCCCAGAAAAATATAGTATAACCCATATAGCATGCAAAATGATATGCAAAACTTAACATTAGAGATACACACATGTAGTTAATTGTTTAAACAAAAAGATAAGAGAATTCACCTGAAATCATTATCTCTGTAAGAGAGTGATGTCACTGGGGTGGGACCTAAGGCTCCAAAGTCACTGATGAGGCTCTATTTTTGACACTTAGGTGGTGTCTCCTTGGGTTTTTTAAAAATCATATATATATCTCTTTTCATATATATAGTTCATAATAAAAAATTCACCTACTGACAAGTTAACCCAGTCACCAAAACTGAAAAAGCATTTAGGCAGCTACACATACCATTAGACACTGAGCACTCATCATCTTTGGGATCCTGAAGTCGTGAAAGAGCCAGAACAGCCTGTAACCTCACATTTGGAATTTTATCTTTCAATCTTATAAGCATTGCTTCCTTAATTTTATCAAACAAATCATCATCGATCTGGGCATTTTCTGGCATATTTCCCAAGAGCTTGTTTATGAGCTGGCACACTCTAAATCGAACCGCATTGCTGTTTGCTTCATGAGACTGAAATGGAAACAATCGAAATTTAGTTACATACCATTACTAAATAATAACATACTATTGGAATTCTATGCTACCTTGATCCACAGGCATACTAAAATACATTATACAAAGCATGCCAAATATACATTACACAAAGACTCAAAATATAGAGTCTGAAGTGTTTGCTAAACTACAAGAGCGCATTTATTCCTCTTTGTAGAAACTCTTACTTTGCTCTTAAAACAGAACTGACTTAAAACAAATGTACGAGACCTGGGTTAGAGAGGTCATTAAAAACTGAATGCTGGAGTTATTTTAAAAGTCCATCTTTTAATCTTAATGACAGTTCTCAAATTTCCTATAAAAAGCAGACATTTTCTCACTTACCAGCTATTTCAATCTCTGAAACATACAAACTCCCATGGCCCTTTTAGTATAGTAAAATTTCCTACAATTACCGCTCCAAAGTTCGAGTTGCCATAATACCTTTAACAGAAAAGAAAACAAATAATCCAAAATGCCACCGCCTTCCTCTTCATCCTCCTCCTCCTCCTCCTCATCTGACTGGTGAAATGACGTAACGAACTTCGCTGCAAACTCTATTACCCTCTCCACAACGGGCTCACGTTTGTAGACCACCATAGCATACTTAAGGTAATGCAGGAATTCCTCGTGAAAAACTGTTTTATCCTCCATCTGAAAGACACAAGAGACCCTTCTTCACAAGCTGCACTGATAAAATCCTCATTTTCCCAGCGCGCCCCTGAGACCGCTGAAAGCCTCAGCCGGAGCTCAAACTGAAGTCATTGTACAGTACACCCTGACCTATCCAAACCATCAAAAGGGAAATCTGCACAAATTTCTCTCCAGAGAGATTTCCTTCCCGCAGTGGGAAAACAACCGTGAATTTTGGCAGTGAAACGATTCCCTTTTCCCTCCAACATCCCTCAATTCTCAATATGCCTTGGTACCAGGTTAGTAAATATACGCTTCATGAACCCAAGATCAGCAGTGGCTTTAGTGTTTTATCATATTTAGCCTTACTGTTGCACAGAAACTTCCTTTTGATATTTTTCACATCCCGTCTCAGATCTTTCAAGTCCTATTATTTATGTTGACTTACAATTTTTCTTGGATCTCAAGATAATTTATTCTTTCGAAATTCATTGTTCTATTCTTCCCACGTCTCCACTCAAGACAAACAAAACAAACAGAATAAGAAGGGCTAGGTCCTAATCATTCATTTGCTATTTGGTGATTCGATTCAATTTAACCATGGGGAGCGGTTAGAGTAGGCTGACTGGCGGTCGGCGTTTCCGACAGGACCGGAGGGGCAGCCGCTGAAGCAGAGCACCCAAGATGCACCCTGAGGCCCAACAATGGGTGCACGGTCGCCTTCGGAACTCGTACACTCCGTTCTCTCCAAGTGCACCGTCTACTAAGGAGTAACGGTCCGCGCCGGAGGCCGTTGTGGAGCGAGGGGTTGCCCGGAGATCTCCCTCCAAGTTGCCAGGTCGGGAGGTTTAAGGAGGTAGAGCTCGCGGGGCGACGAGTGCGGAGGGTCTCGGGAGGGCAAGAGGCAGCAGCGGCCAGAGGCTTCAGGATCCGGCGCGCTTACCGTGCGGTAGGTGCGGCTCAGCGCCACCACTAGCTTCGCCTGGTTCTGGCGCGCCTGTTGCGCCAGCTTGAAGGCCTCCTTAATCGGTAGCAGCTTCTTCTCTGCCCCCATGGTGGCGCGACTCCGCAGGGACGAGCCCTGCCTGCGATCGGCTGCAGCAGGACCAACACACCCCAAGGCTAATTTCCAGTCTCTCCAACTACGTTCTGCCGGCCTCTAAGCGCCCAGGGCGTGGTTACCGCCTGAGTGTTTAAATAACTCCCGCGGGAGAGGGAAATACCGCGAGACTTCAGCGATAGCGTCGGGAGACGAGAGCGGGAAGAAATAGATCCACCCACCTCGAACGCAGCGGCTTGGGCGCATGCGCTTAGAGTTTAGCCTGCCGTTTTCCGGTGAAAAGTGGTATTTCCAAGAGGAGGGGGTCGTCCACTTGCCCGGAAGTGGTCCCGGCTGAGAAGGCGAACGGAGTGGCGGTGAGATTGTCGGGACAGAGTGGCGTTAGGCCTAGTCCGGTCGCGCAGCTAGGCGTGAAGCGAGAAGGGAAAAAGATCCCCCACGGGTGAGAACAGGGAATCTGCTGAGGGGAGGAGGGGCTTCTTTGGAGATCCTTCGAGAAGGGAGAGATAAGGGGTACTGGGGCGCCAGGCCGCGCGGCCTGGCTCCTGCTGCAAAGGGAGAGGCGGAGGGGTCCGCCGAGCGGGCCACTGCGCGGTCCCCTGATGGCCGTGGGCCGCTGTCTTTCCGAGCCCCGGGCCTTCGGCGGAGGAGGGGGGCGAGCGGGGGAGGCCCGCCGGGAGCGGCTGCGGGGACAGGCGCTGAGGGATGTAGATAACCGCTTATCCGAGATGCGCCCGCCCTCGAGGCCTGGCGTGCAGAGGTGCACCACGGCGGTGAGCCAGAGAACCGCAGTGTTCGGCGCAGCGGTTAAGATACAGGAGTTTCGACGGCCTTCGAGCAGAAACTAAGCCTAAACTTTTTTTTTAAATGGGATGCTGTGAGGTCAAAATGAGCCAGCTAAAGAAGTAGGTTCCAGAGCCCCCGTACATCTTTTTCCTTTGAAATCACCTTCCCTCCCCAGTAGTGATGGATTTTCTGAATTTACTGTTCGTTTTCATGTATTAACGACATATACATTGATCTCTGCGTAAGTACACGGTATCGCTTTCGTGTTCTCATATGAATATTCGAATATGCCATTTCCTTTCTGCGATCAGTATTGTTTTTAAGGTTTATTTATATTGATACTTGCATAATAATAAATTACACCAATGGACGCTTACGTGCCAGACACCGGTCCGAGCAATTGACTTCCTTTAATCTTTACAAACAAGCCCTGTGAGGCAACTGCTGTCTCCTTTAAGGGAGGACACTGAGGCACAGGTTGCTGTAGTACTTACTCTGTTGCATGACTCTGGCATAATGTATTCATCCATTCACTTCGTCTTCCCAGTTCCCGGCGCGATGTAGGTATTGAAATGACAAAGGAATGAATATGAAAGCATTTGGGTTGCCCATGATTTTTAAGTTTATGAAGATGCCTAGTTTCTGAAAAAGCATTTTAGCTTAATCAGTCGGAGCGAAAGTGTACAGGCCTAAGAATGCGTGGAGTATGCTGGTAACGTTTCGAGTCTCACCACGGCTGAGATGCATTGCTGTGGAGTGGCTGGAAAGGCGTGGTGAAGAAACCTAGAAAGGGCATTCGTTTTTTAGCCAAGTCTATCCAGACTATCATTTCAACACGTTATCTACATAAAGAATAAGTTACATTTTTCCCCGAGTCTTTAAATTGGGTATTTTACACTAACCACAGTTCAAGTTCTCAATAGACACGTAGGGCAAGTGGCTACAGTGTCGGATAGTACAGAACTATTCTTGCTTTGAGAACCTCTGTGTGTACCATTTGTTTCCTTTTTTATGTAAAGTCTTTTATGGTAAACTTAAAAATTAGAACAAACTAATATTTGGAGGCATTTTCTTATTTTGTGGCCTTTAATTGTTCAGCTCTCTTTATGCCTTAGATGTCTGCCAACTTTGTTTTGTTTGGCTGTGAGGTTTCTAACAATATTATTTCCTTTGCTGTGTTTTAGTTGGCCGTCTCACTACAAATCAGATGACTTCATTCAGTTTTGTCAGTTACTGAAGGATGAGGCATTTGGCCACCAGAGGTCAGCCTAACTATATTTTAATGAGCTTTTCTTTTTTTGATTAGTAATTTTTTCAACATAATCTGGAAAAAAATTTTAAAGATTGCAAAATGGAAAGATAACTTTTGCAGTAAGAGAAATAATTTGCAAACCGTGTATCCCATATATCCAATGTTAATATACAAAATATATAAGAAACTCATACAACTCAATATCAAAAAAAATTTTTTTTAACGCGAACAAAGGACCTGAAGAGACATTTTCCAAAAAAAGATGTGTTAATGGCCAACAGGCACATGAAAAGGTGCTCAGCATCACTAATGAGCAGGGAAATGCAAGTCAAAACCACACTAAGGAAACACCTCACACTTGCTAGGGTGACTATTGCAAACAAGTGAAAAGAAAAATGTTGGCAAGGATGTGGAGAAAGGGGAAACCTTATACATGGTGATAGGAATGTAAATTGATGCAGGCATTATAGAAGACAGTATGGCAGTTCCTCAAAAAATTAAAACTGGAATTACCATATGATCCAGCATTCTCACTTCTGGGGACATAGAGGAAATAAAGTCACCATCTCAAATATACATCTGTACTCCCATGTTTATCTCAGCATTAGTCACAGTATCTGGCATATGGAAACAGCCTAAGTGTGCAACAATGGATAAAAATGTGAGATACATACACAATGGGATATGCAGTCTTGTAGAAAGAAGGAAATCCTACGATTTGCAATATAGGTCAACTGGGAGGACATTCTGCTAAGTGAAGTAAAGGAGACAGAAAGACAGGTACTCCGTGATCCCACTTACATGTGAAATATAAAAAAAATTTAACTCAGTAACAGAACAGAATGGAAGTTTCCAGTAGCTGGGGTTGGGGGGTCAGGGCAGTGGAAGAAGTGGGAAGATGTTGATCAAAGGTTAACTTTCAGTTTTGAGTAAGTTCTGGAGACTTAATGTACAGCATGTTAACTATAGTCACTAATTAGCACATATTCTTGAAATTTGCTAAGAAAAGATAAAAGTAAAGAATGTATATGGTAAGTTTATGTCTGAAATTACAGAAAAATCATTCTTTTTCTGTAATTTATACATGGTAAAGGTAAATTACACATGGGAGTATATAGAGTGGGTATGGTTAATTCAGTTTTGTCCAGGGAAAACTATGCGCATGAAATGTAAAGGAATAACAATGATAGCCTCACTCTAGAATTTGCATATGCCTGCAAAGAGACTTTGTCTTATTTCTTAAGCAGAATAAGCCTTTTAAGCATGCTTTGAATAACACAGTGCCTGAAATATACTTAATAATCTTGCAGATGGAATTCGGTTGAAATGAGAACAGTAAAACTACAAGAGGACAGAAGAATTAAAAGCCAACAGCTTCTCCTGTCTCAATAAAAGAAAGATCTATGGTATGTTTTGAATTTTCATTTTCAGATGGAACTAGGTAATATAAACTTAAAAGTATTTGCATTCGTGTTTCTTATTGAAGATGAAGATATAAGCAGTTCCTTTTATATTGCTTTAGTAGCATCATCTTTATTGATTCTGCTTTAAAACATTGTTTAATTTATCTTTGTCCAACATATTACCAAGTCAGTTGAATATAATTTGGGAATTTTTTCTCTCATAAAAATAGAACATACTTGTATCGTTACTTACAGCAGGACTTCATCACTCCCTCATTAATTTTTTCAAAAAACTTGCTAAGCCCCTAATGTGTGCCAGACACAGGTAGGAACTGAATTAGATAAAAGGACGGCATAGAAGCTAGAGAAATACTATTCTTTAGAGGACTGTACGACCTTATTACTACATACTCAGTGTGTGGTTGAAACTGAAGATGTTTATTGACTTTGATTTTGGAAATCACTCCTACAGAATGGCATAAATGCGATTTGATATTTTGGGTTTTGCTTTTTTCATTTAGAGCTGTGCCTTCAGTCCAGACACACTGCAGTGTGTTCTTCCAATGTGCTCAAACCACATTTTACCTGTCCGCCCTTCTGGTGCTGGAAACCTAGAATGCTTCTAAGTCCTTACCATCAAAGATGGAGAAGCATCAGAATACATGTTGGTGTTACGGGAATTACTTTGCTGTATGTACCCAAGAGTAGAATTGCTGGATCATGAGATACGCAAATAGTCTGGCCAAGCAGTGCTGCCAGTTGTTCCTCAGAAAGGTCTATAATCGCTGGTTCCTAAAGGGGTTCTAAGTCTTAGCCTCCTCGCTAACACTGAACATTGTCTGGCTTTAAAAGCTTTTACCAAACTAATGGATTAATATCATTTGACTCATATGGTTAATGGCTTGTGGCTTTTCCCGCCTGCAAGTTAGATAACTTTGTCCTTTCCCCCATTTCTTTATTGAGGCTGCTGTATTTTCTTGTTGATTGTAAACGTTGTTCCTGATATCTCTAGTTCAGTCAAGAAATGATTCATTTTGATGTGATTGAATTCATCATCTTTTGGTATTGTGATTTACCTTGTAAAAGGTATTTGTGTAATGCATCTTGTTAGTATTACTGGTATAGAAGTTAAGAGGGTTCAAATCCCTGGCTCTTACCAGTAGATGTATGACCTTGGCCACATAACGTAAGCCTTGTATAAATGGGGACAATAAAAGTACCTATGTCATAGGGTTTCTAGGAGAATTTAAAATGAGTTAACATTTATGTAGTTTCTGGAATAGCACCTGGCAAGTAGTAAGTGTTGTATAAATAAATTAATGAATATGTAGGTGGTTAATCTCAGATCCAGGAACTTTGTGGAGCTCTTTCATTAGCTCTACTAGTTTACATGTCAGTCTCTTTTTAAATTGGATGACCTTATCATTTGTAAATTAATAGCTTTATTTCTTTTTTCCAGTTCTTACACCTGTCATTTGTTCTTTTATTTATAACATCGAGTAGAACTTTTGGTTCTTTGTCAGTATCAATCATCATGGTCATCCTTATCTAATTTCATTTTTTCAAGGGAGTATCTAAATATTCTCATTTAGGATAATATTCCTGAAATTTTTGGCTGATAACCCAACCCTTACCAAGTTGAGAAAGTAGCTTTCGTTTTTTGCTTTCTTTTGTTCCTGGGGCGATATATGTAGAAATATTCGGAAGTTGAGATACTTTTGCTTTCCTGGGATAAGCTCTACCTGATTATAACATATTTTTCTTTTCTTTAATACACTGCTAGTCTTATTGGGTAATATTTGGAGTTTTTGCAAATGGAATGAGCCTATACTTTTGTTATTTGGTTCATATTTAGATTTGGAATTCTTTATTCGCATGAAAGGAGAGCTGGTCAGTTTATATAAATTTTTATTTTTCTGGAAAAGCTTATATAAAATAGCATGAATTTTCTAGGAATTAGTGGAACTCACTTGTAAAACCATAGGGACCTGGTGTTTTTAATAGGAGGTTGTTACCTTTTTATTTTCTTTAGTACACACTAGTCTGTGCTGTTGAAGTCATCTGTTTCTTCCTGTGTGAATTTTAGTATTTTATATTTTAGAATTTAGTCATTTCATATGGATTTTCACATTTTAGCATATATTTGTCATGTTTATTTTTAATTTCTTTTATTTTTAAATCTTGATAAGTCATATCAGTTTGGTATTTGGTATTTTTAATATTTTCAGAATATATTTTAGCCTTATCAATCTTTTCTACTACTATTTTATTTACTGTTTCATTTCTGCCTTTATTTTGCTGTTGCTCTTCTCTGTTATCTTGAATTCTTAATTTCTGGATATTTAAATTTTCTTGTATTCAAAGCTGTATTTTTTTTTTTAGTTACTGGTTTGGTCATGTCCCACAAATTATGCCTTGTGGGTGGTTTATATCATTACTCAGTTTTAATATTTCTTGATATCCTTTGTAATTTCCATTTTAACCCAAGAGTTATGTAGGTCTCAACGTAGGATTACTTTTAACTAACATTTAATATCTACTTTTATTGCACTGTGATCAGATTATTTATTCTAAATGAAATACCCTTTGGAATCTATTTGTACTATATAACCTAATACATGATCTATTTGTGGGTGCATGCACTCAAATATCTTTGTTTGGTGTAGAATTCTATTTACCTAAATAATATCCAACGTATATTAATATTTTAACCATTTTTTATATTTTTTGTATCCCTGCTTATATTTCTCCCCTCAATTCTATCAGTTGTTATTCAAGAACTTTTGAGTATATGTTTTCAGGTGTATATATGATCAGTACAGCAGGTCTTCAAATAACATCATCTTGTTCAACATCACTTTGTTATAACAACATTGATGAGATGCCTTCAGAACTAACTCTTGTTTATATCAGGTAGCCTATGGTAACATTATTTAGTAGAATGTTGCAGGGCCCATTAATGACATTAAGTGAGGATTTAAATGTACGTCACTTTATTCGGTTGCTTCTCGTCCATCTTTGTCCCATATAATTTTTGACATAAGACCTTGTTGTATGTTAAGATTGCTGTCTTGGCTTTATTGGGTCCACAATGGCCTGGCACATCCTTTTTTATCCTTTTATTTTTTATTTTTCTGTGTCTTTTTGCTTTAAAATCTCTTTTGTTGGCAGTATATTATTGAATCTTCTTTTTTAATCCAGTCTGAATGTCTGCCTTTTAATTTTGAGTTTAACCTGTTTACATTCGGTGTACTTCCTACTCATATCTGTAGAGTATGGTCATATGATCCCAACCTCTGGGTCCCAGCAAGAGTCCTCTAATATCTAGCAACTCTGCAAACAGGATAGGTCTCCAAAAACTAATCCCACCAAGCATATCTACGAGTAAAAAGATATGAATAAAAAATTTTTTATAGCTTTCTACTCAGAGATTTGGACATAAGGGGTCTGCTTTAGCAGAAGTAATTTTCTGGGCTAGAACCGCATGTTTAAAAACAGACTGGCCCACGGATAGTACCCACAGAGGATTAAAATGTTCCCAGGCTCACCTTCCCGATTTGTGATTTAGGAGCCATCCCAATAGGACAATCTGCCTAAGCCTCTGAGATAAAGAGGGGAAAGCCCAGAAGGCTTTGTTCGGCATCCATGCTCTTCGGTACTCACAGTTAGGTGGACTGTAGTGTCACCTAGTGCTTTCAGGCTTTAATGTCATGTGTCTAGTCTTCTCATTCACAGGTTAAGGCTCCCTTTCCAGATAATCCCAACAGCTAAGTCACCGGTTTCCAAGGGCACTTGCACCACCTGTGGAAAACATCGGATCTGTGTGCACCAGATGTCCTCGACAACTCATCCCACCACCCGTCTGCACATAATCTGCCGCAGCAGCAGACTCTGAAGGCAACCACTGAGTTTCTTCTTATTGCCAAGTAGATACAATACCCTGGCAATAAAACAGAGGACACGAGTGTCTCTTCACAGTATCACGGCCAATTGAAACCACACTAAGAAAACCAGTTTGCCTAGATGAGGACCCTTTCTCTTCTTGGGTAGCCAGGATTTAAAGGAGAAACTCAGACCTGTGCCGATGGTAAGTGACTAACACTTTTACACACCGAACTGCTCCTGAGAACTGAGATGCCTTCTTTGTAAGTGAAGAAAATACAACATGATCTCGAAGAACTGCACAGTGGTACAAGCCAGAGGCATACTGTGCGTGTAACGGACTCAAAAACAGGCAAGTTAATCTTGTTGAAAGGATTTTTCATCTTTTGTTTATGTTCCCCAGTGTTAGTCATTGTTTTGCTGGCTTAAATTGTTAACCTTTCTCTGGTTCCTTCTCCTGTTCTGTTCTAATGGGTCCCAGAAATCCCTCTCCTGACCCCTTGTCAGAATCGGAAAGTGAGGAAGAAGAAAATGCTAACTACCTAAATGATAGTTCTGGGGAAGAGTGGGATTCCTCTGAAGAAGAGGACCCTGTGGTGCCCAACCTGACACCTCTTGAGAGTCTTGCCTGGCAGGTTAAGTGCCTTTTAAAATACTCAACAACTTGGAAACCCTTAAATCCCAATTCCTGGTTATATCATGCTAAACTCTTAGATCCAAGCACACCGGTCCATATACTTCGGGAGATAGGTCTGAGGCTCTCCCATTGCTCCCACTGTGTGCCCAAACTGGAACCAATCCCTGAATGGCCACCCCTGGCTTCTTGTGGAGTCCCACCTTTTCAGAAGCCCCTGACAAGTCCCAGCCGGCTCTCCAGAGACCATGCCACTCTGAACGGAGCGCTGCAGTTTGCCACCAAACAGTTAAGCCGAACCTTGAGTAGAGCCACTCCCATAACTGAATACCTAAAACAGATCCCTAATTCGTGTGTCTCTGGTTGTTGCTGTGGCTGGTTAACCAAAACGGTTAAGGAAACAACCCGCACTGAACCAATCAACACTACTTACTCTTACACTGACTTCCAGAAGGCAGTTAACAAACTCTTAACTGCATCACTATAAAACCCACCATTTGTTCTGATATCTCTTGTGTTGCTAATTGAGAAAGCAGTACAAAGTTACACAGCCCAGAGCTGCGAAAGGAATGCCTCCTCCACCAAACTGCCCTAACGGGCCAGTATACCAAGCAAGTACTGGATATATGTCCAAGAGGCCCATAGCTCAGCTGCAGAGAATGTGCATCACGACTTTCCCTTTGATAGATCCTGTGGATAAAATGAGAACTTTAATGGAGAATTAGTCAAAAGGTACCATATTGCAAAAGATAAATTATTCTCTGCATTGTGTTCTCCACCCCCTCCCAATTTACTCCACCTATCTGAATGGATTCCAACTAGATACCTAATTATCAACGGGAAGGAAAAGGTAGGCTACTACCCCTTTTGTTACCCATCCTTCACAACAGCTACAGTAGAAAGTGGAAAGTCAGCTACTCCCAACCACACCTGCCTAAGCATAGTCTTCTCGGGCATGCATTTTTAGGGAGGTAGTGGAATTAAATTCATTAACTAGGCAAAAGAAAATGGTGGGAATAGGATGCGTCTCCTAGCTTTTATACGGATAGGTCTGCGTGTGGCACACTTTAGGGGTTCCTATTTTGGGGGAGGGAGTGCAGTTTCAAACCTGTAGTCTAATGCTCCAGACCTATCACAGTACCTGTGATTACAGCATAAACATTTTATAAGTTCCCATCAGGCTCTCTCTAATTAAGCTGACCTGTACGATGGTACCTGGGGATTAAACAGACACCTTTTCCATAGGGAATATATTTCCTGCATCTTAGCACTCAGACTTCAGTCGAGAGGAAATAAAACACATTCCAACAGACCAAAGGGAAAGGATTATTAAGAGAGCGTTTATATTTTCAATACTAACTGCTAAAGGATTAAAGTCTTTCGGTCTGTTTCCTAGAGCAGTACTTCATGCACTTGCCTGATCCACTGCAAACTTTCCAGGATCACGTCTAACTTTAAAGAACCTTACTACAGAAAACCTCAGCCTAATACAATCTGAAGTCAGTTTTTTAGTATCACTTTTTTTCTACATAGCTTAGCTTTTAGCTATATCTGAACAAGTATATGTACTGTTGTAAATGAATCTTGCAGTGTTTAGTTGAGTCAAAATGTAGAAGTCGACATAAAATGCATGAGACCATTAGATCTTTTCACACACCTTCAGTAAAGAGTGAAACCTGTGTATGATCCTGGCTAACAGGGCATCTAAAGGATGCAGAAAATATTGTTAAAGATATATTATACACCCCCTTTAGTTTTGCTTTTTTCCTCTTCTCCATTACTAAGTGCTATGTACAATGTGGCATCAAAAATTAAAGCATTAATAGAATCACAAATTTTAAAATGCGTAGCAACTTTAAGAAGAGAGAAGAATGTTTATAACCTAATGAGTATTTCTGCTGAGCCTTAGTTTTCTTAAGGGAAAAACAAGGAGGGGATTGTAGTAGGTAGAAAAAATATCTGTTAGTAGAGAGTTACTGAACTGAAACATACTATACTGTTAGTATAATTGAATGTGTCAGAAACTGTTTCTATGTAGCTGTTTTCTGTGAAACTGGTTTTTAAAATGTTACACCTGTTTCTTTTAAGGGGGAGGTGGGAAAGATAAGGTCTAAAAAATTAAAATATGTCGATGTTTATGTAACCATAATATGTTCCTTTTTCTGTGTATGTGTGCACGAGTGTGTGCACGCATTTATGTGTGTAAAAATGCCTTCCTCATAAACGCATTTTTCCTATTTACTCCTAAAGGAAGCCTTTCCCCAGCTTTGCAGCTGAATAAACCAACAGCTTTGTACATGCTGAACAGAGTATGGTCATTTATTCTCAACTCTAATGCATAGGTCTTGCTTTGCTTAAGGCATTCGACATTTCCCTAAGTGCTGAGTAAAGTCAATAGATACAACCCCTGTATCTATAGTGTCTCCAATAAATGGTGACTTGGCAACTCTAGAGAAGCAACATACTCAAAGAAAATAATGTGAGATGTTGTCAGGACCCAAATTTGAACCCATTTGTTTACATATTAAGTAACTACAGGTTGCACAAAAGGATAGGCACCTGAATAAGCCTTACACCTTCACTACTTGTGTGCTGTGGATGTGGGTTTAGGGGTGAATTTACCACTTTCATACTCACCCTACAAGGGCCTTTGGTTAAATGCAGTCACCATAATTAGAACAAAGAAGGGTACACTTATTTTCTATAGGAATATTTATCAAAGAACTTAGGAAACAGGATTTCTAAACCAATGGCCATTAATGTTATTTGAAAGTAGTCTCAGTACAGAAAGGCAGCCTCTGTTGAAGCTGTTCAGACACCTTTAGCCTGCGAGACCACAGTCACGTATTTTAAACCCATCACCTCACTAAGAAAAAATCTGTATGTTGCAGGAGGAGGTCAGCTTTACAGGATTACTTCTTGGAGCTTCTATCAACTATCTGCCTTAAAAAATTATTCTATTGAAAAGTGTTTTGGTATTAGAGTGAATCGTTAAGAGTGATTTAGGGACCTTAGAAGTCATTTGGGTTATTTTGTTTAGTATGTTTTTATTGATTATGCTATTACAATTGTCCCAATTTTTTCTCCTTTGCCCCCCTCTGCCCAGTACGCACCTTCCCTCCAGCAATCCCCCACCCTCCTTAGTTCATGTCCACGGGTCATACTGATACATAAATATTTTTACCTCTTTAATGACGATTCTCTAATTTTGGCTCCAGTGCTGGAGAACTCAGTAACTTTCTGAGCAGCCCATTAGTTTTAAATATACTCATTGGAAATTCAGTCATTCATCTAATAACATTAGAGAATGCCTACTATAATCCAGGCACTGGGAATGCAAAATTAACATACTACACATAAGAAATTAGTTTTGAAGTATATTGAACCAAGATAAATTATCCCAAAGCTTTTGGCCATTGATGCCATTTTTGCTCTCTGGTTACAATAAATAAGGCTAATCCTTATCCTGGCCCTTAAGTATTTGAAAGTGGGGCAGCCATCCAAATCTAGTGTAAATGCATGTGGAAGGCACACTCCAACAAACCACATGAGGGGAAGTCGGCCAAGTGTGAATAGAGAAAATAAGTAGGTATTTTGTACACAGGTTTAAATTGTGTATGCTAAGTTCATAGGGCAATGGCATACAAAGAATAGGGCTGGAAATATTTTGCTCATGGCTGGGGTTATATATATATATATATATATATATATAAACTTCCAACTTTATAAGACAACTTTGTAGAAGCTCCTGGCTTTGTTAGTCCACCGATGAGCAATAACCTTTCGGTTGAGGGAACTAGACTAGGTGACATAGCTACTAGGTATTCTGTGTCCAGTTGCTGTGATCAAAAGGAAAAGATGGTGTCTCTTCACCAATTTAAAACAATTTAGTTCACGGGTATGTGTATGAGTCTGATCATGATACAATCTCTATGCTCTTTAATTGTTGGTAGCTGTGGGATTATGTGAAAGCTTTGGAAGTGAAACCAAGAAAATGGGAAGAAAAAGATAAAACAGTGATTTGACACTTGCTAGCGACCCAGCTCCCATTAGCTGTGAGAGCTGTGACAAGCTCTTCTCACTGAGATACGGGAAAGGAGTGCCTGGTTTAAAAATAATTTGAAGTGGTGTGGCAGGCGGGCGGTTACCCAAGTTGTTGGTTGTAAACAGCATTGAGTCAGCTGTTAAAATGTTAGCGACAGGTTTTAGGGTTGGATTATAAAACAGTGAGGTGACTGACATTTGGGCATTTTATTTCAGAAGACATAGATGACCACAACACATGACAGGAAAATCCCTGGAGTCATTTGGAAAGTGATACCCCCTTCCCTGGAGTAGGCCATGATCAGCAATCGTCCCGGAGACTCAGTATCCTGATCAGCCAAGCAAAATTAAAACTGAGTATACACGGAGACTAAGCCAGTGTGGTATTGAATTAGATTTCAACAGAAACCAGGTGGAAGAGTCTTAAAAGAAGTGTTGCAATTTGCAAATTGAGGAGCTGATAATGTCTTCTGGAGTGGGGGAGTACATTTTAGTTAAATGCTAACCTCTTGCTTAATGTTAATATTTCTAGCCATAGTGTCAAGTGTGGAACCTGATGCTCCAATATTATCAGCTAGTGTTCTATAATGGATTAATCAGGCAATGGTCTAGTAGGGACAACGTCCTTTGGGAGGCACCCAAACAACTGGAACAATCCAGGGGCGTGGCCATGTTCCATCGAGAAGACCCTGGGTTGGTTTTATGATTGCACCTTGGGCAACCGGAATGCATTGGTAAGGTGGGAGAGTTCTGGTGACACAGGAAGCCAACCACAACTGAGAGACACTGAATTCCTATATTAATTGAAGGCATTAATGGCCACAGCCTACATGTTCCGTGGGGACTTCTCACAAAGTGGGTCATATGGTGTTGGCCCCTGGCTACCTGCCTGGCAGTAACAATTTCCCAGTGGCTTGAATGCTTTGGTCCAGATCCCAGTTTCCTTTGAATCCAGTTGGTTTTGTTTCGTTTTGTCTTGTTTTGTTTAATGTTGGTCACTTTGTTACTTATGACACGTTGTTTCTTTAAATGTGTTGGGTTGCCAAATTTAGCAAAAATGCAAGACACCCAAATAAACTTCAGTTTCAGATAAACAATGAAAAATGGGACATACTTATACTAGAAAAATAATTTATTATTTTTCTGAAATTTAAATTTAACTGGCATCTGGTGTTTTATCTGGCAGCCCAAACAAACAAACAAATAAATAAATATGTTGGTAGCATTGGTTCAGCTTGGGTTGCAGTCATGTCGCTGTTTCTAGGAAACAGTCTTCCTGTTGTGTGGTGCTTTCTTACCTCCAAGTACTTGATGGGGGGAAGAGGAGGCTAACACACAGTTGACACTGGTTCACACGTTGCAGAGAAATGAAGGAAGACCAATTAGGCTAAAAGGCCAAAAATTACACAATGTTAATAAATTACATTAGTACTTCTAGACATTTTTATAATTTTATAAAATGCTGTCTCAATAATGGGTAGATTGTTTTCTTGTTTATGTGTGTTTTAAGCAGTTATTTTCTCCTTTGCCATGAAGGGAAAAATTAAGTATCTTTTAAAATTCAAATATTTGATGAGTTGTACAGTTCTGGCAGCAAAGTCTTCACTGCAGGAAAGGTCCAGAAATTGGAACACATCTTTTCCTTTCAGAACCCCCAAAAGACTCAAGGATTTGAAGCACAAGTTACCCTGGAAGGTGGAAATGAGGAGCAGAGTTGGAAACAAGGGTAATATTTGAAAGTTTATTTGTGCCCTCATTTTGTAGCTAGGTGTCTGTCCCTCTTTCTAGCCAAAGATTGGAGACTTAATATCTGGGGAAATTAAAGCAAAGTCCCAGTGAGACTTAGGACTGGGCTGGAGGAGAATGATAGTGAGGTGCTGTACTGAAGACAGGAAGATTGAGAGACTGAGTCGTCCAAACATTATGAGCCATCAGACCCTTTTGTCCACCCAGTTACATCATCTGACAGCCAGACTTACGCCCAACCCTGTCTACCCCATCCACAAAGATGAACAATTTAACATAAACAGCTGCCACTTGGTTATTTGTTACAGTGGAATCCAGAACCCACAAGGCCTGCTCATTCATAACAGCTTTCAGTCACCTGAACTCACCATAAACTGATAGCCAGGAATCATTAGGTATTTGAGGATAACTTCAACGAGGAAAGATGAATACTGAAATGAACCTGGAAAAAAAATTGGAACTAATGCAGGAAACAAAACTTCCAAAGAAGCTGTAATATGCTCAGAAACATAGGAGAATATATTGCATCCGTGATGTAACAGGATTCCATTAAAAAACAACAATCAGAAAATAAGAAGATTGGAAAAGTAGAAGAGCCAAAATTAAACAGTCAACAGATGAGTTGGAAGATAAGCAGGACAAAAAGGCAGAGATAAGGAAAGAACGAAAAGGAAAATGAGCAGATCAGAATTGGATACAACCAACATCTGATTAATAAGAGCCTCAAAATGAGAGAATAGAGAAAGGAGGTGAAGAGACAAAACAAAATTAAAGAACATTGCCCAAAAATACAAGACGTGAGTCTCCTAAAATGATCCACTGAGTGCCCGGCACAATGAATTAAGACAAAAAGCACATCACTATATTTCAGGATATACTAGGTTTAAAGATCCTAACAGTTTCCGAAGGGGAAAACAAGGTTTACATAAATGGATGTTTTCGGAATGGCATTTAGACCTTGGGAGCAGCACGGGATGTTAGAAGACTGAAAGCAAGACCTTCAAATGTAAGGGGAAAAATTAATTCTAACCTACAATTCTATATCCAGACAATCCAACCAAGTATGGGGCTAAAATAAATTTAGATTTGCATGGTCTCAAAATTTTACCTTACCATGTACCCTTTCTTAGGAGGCTACCGGAGGATGTGCGTCAACAAAACAAAGGAGTAATCCACATAAGAAGGCATGGGATCCTGAAAACATATCTCTCAAAGGAACACAATGAAGGTAGGTCCTGGGATGGCAACTGTGTCAAGTAAGTAGGGTGGGGTTTCAGGAAGTAAGTCTCTAGGAAACGTGGGACAAAGTGAGTATATGGAGAATGTGAAGAAGAATGAGACAGATGTTGGGAAATGAGGGGAAAAGAATAAGATAATTACATAGGGAACTAGGTTAATAAGACAACAAGAAGGACACCGAACACACATTTTTGGATGAGTGTCACTGTCACAAAAGTAAACCTGAAATTTTGTTTTTTAAATGTCATTACAGTTTTAGCAGTCAGATTTAGTAGT